TATGTTTCATTTTCATATTTTATGCAAAATTATATATTATTCGTAGTTATTTTTATAATTATTCTCTTCAATGAAGCTTTCTCACAAAAAAGGAAATTCATCCGCAATAGACATCAAAAAATTAAGCATGCATTATTAAATATTTTTTAAGTTACAAAATCACCCCAACTTAGAATGAATAAGCAGTTAATTTTAGCCACAGAATGACATTTGATATAAAAAACAATTTTGATTAATTGTTTTCAGTTTATTTTTTGTTAATTAGAACACAACAATTAAGAGTTTTTATTTATTTTTACAATGTTGGAAGAGATAAATAAAGCATTTTCTAATTTTTTTAATATTCTTTTAACTTATTAAGATTTTGTTTTATGAATTGTTATTAGAATTTAGAAAAAAGAAGATAATAAATTGTATAAATCTGATAAAGAAAAACATCTTTTAAAGAAAGAATATCTAGTTCAGGTTTGGTGTGCATTAAATCTAGATTATAATCTAAGTCATCAATTAATTTTAATAAAATATTTTATAATATTCATAACTTTTCAACCACGTCATCTCATCAACTTTTATCAAATCTACAAATATAATTTTAATTCACACCAAATAGGGACTAAATGAAAAATCAATAATTAAAAATATAGTGTACAAAACATTACATACTGTTATAAATAATGTATCATTTTTATTTCAGTTAAAGGTATTTTAGACTATTCAGCTATTCATTGTGTCAATAATATTTTAGTCTTTGAAAATTTTTCAACAAATAATATTTGTCATTTGGTAGCTTTAAATTTGAAAAAATGAATGAAAATAATGATTTTTGCAATGAAATATAAAAATAAGAGTGAAAATGTCAAAAAATAAAAAGTATGGACGTTTTACACAATAACATTAAAAGGTATGGATGTTTTATGCTAATTTCCCTTTTAATAATTTATTTGAACTCATTTACACTTTTTAAAAAAGTTTGGGAGTATAATTGCAATTTATTTATTAACTTTTCTTTTCTTTTTTATTGTTTTATTTAAATAAGGGGTATATTTATCAATTTACACGAGAAATTTGATGAAAAGGACGATTTTTGCAATAAGAGGTGAACGTAAAGGTAAAAGTGCCAAGAAATGAAAAGTTAGGATGTTTTGCATAATAACATTGAAAGGTAATGACGTTTTATACTAATTACCCTAATATTTTGTAGGAAAAATTGCAGCAGTGGTTTCCAATCTTTTCACTTTTTTGCAGACTTTACTCTAACCTTTATATGTCCTAGTGATGGTTTCTAATCTTTCATAAATATTCACCTGAGATCCATTTGGACAAAAACCATTCAAAACATTGTTAGTTGATTGAAAAAATTAAGAAATCAATATCTAATAAAACCGTCAAAAAACATATCAACATCCAATAAATTCGTCACCATAGCAGATAGTTCAAGGAATTTTTCCAATCAACCGACGAAGTTTTCGACGGTTTCCATCTAAAAGGACTTTAGGTGCATGTTTATGAAATGTTAAAGACCTTTGCCGGCACAAAATAAAGGATATGGTAAAGTCTGTAAAAAAACAAAAAGGTTAGGGACCGCTGTTACAATTTTCCCTATTTTGTAACCACTATGCGCATTGCAAAATGTAATATGTAAATTATAAATTTATAAGATACAATATGTTAGTGTAACTAATTATACAAGGTGTACTTTTTAAATTTTCCTTTTTTTTTT